GCTGGGGTAAATTTTGAAATATGATTATTGGTCATAGTTGTTGTTGGTGATGAATTCAACTTCAGTCTGTAATTGAGGTTGGGGGCTGAAGAACCTAAGAACATGTGTTTGTGGGTGAGGAATATGTGTGTGTACAGGAGTGTATGTAATGTGTATGTGTTTCTCCATGACTTTTCTTGGAATTCTTAACAATTTGCTATGTTTGCTGCAATAGTAATAATTTTACTGATAACAAAGATTCCTGCTGTGGGAGACTTATGTAATCTGTTTGTAACTGTTTTATGTCAAGCACAGTGTTGCTAAGGCAGTATTCATTATACTAATATTTACTGAATCAGTGGTTTTCCTAATTCATACAGTACAAAACATGAAGCAAGGCAATAAATTTATGCATATACACATGGAGGATGGCTTTGCTATCAGTGTGGCTTGCCATCAGGCATTTTCCAGAGACAGAAGCTTAACAGTCCAATCCAAAAGGGTGAGACTTTCATTTGATTTGTTTTGGTAAGGATTTAGTAGAATTCAGACATTTCTGTTTAAATGGGTGGTTGGAACTTGCTTTTTAAAAACAATAGAATAAAAGCAAAACTAACAGTTTTGTCCATTCATGCAGGGCTTTGAATACACAGATGGTCTGAAATCCCTGCTTATTCAACCTTTTTTGTAATGCTGAGGATTACCACCTTTCTGCTTCCCATCTGGACTGGCTCCTCATCTTTAGCTGATGCATAGCTAACAGGTAGAACATGGAACTCTCCATAATGGGAATGGATTTATTAGTTGAAGTTGGCCAATGAAGATGGAGGTAACTTTATTTTGTTCATTTTTTTTCATAAACACTCCCCCAAATTTGTTCACCAACCGGATAGAAAAAAAAGTGTGTGTGTGTGTGTGTACATACACATATACATAAATAAATATGGAAGACAGTGAGGGTGACCAGTTAATCTGCTCCTGTCTAATGCATTTATTCAGATGTGAGTTACACTGAGTTCAATGGGGCTTATGCAGGGTATGTGGTGTTACAATGACTGATTTCATATAAAGACCCCTTTCGGGTCCCTGCCATGGCCCTAGACTGGATAAGCCCAACCGCCATGAATTCCAAGGTGTGCACATCACGTAGGCACCTGAAAAGTCACATCTGCATCTACAACAATTTACAGATCCAAAGGGCCAAAGCCTAGGAGCTGCAAGCAGGACATTTACACCCCCTAAATTCCGGAGACACAGAGATTTACAACCAGCTAAGAATGAGATAACATCAACATCCCATCTCCTCTCCTTGGAAATTGTCTACTTCAAAGAGTAGTAATTGGAATCCTTTGATATATAACAATCAATCTTCACTCCAGGCTATTTTCAGCCTATATCAAGATCTCCAAAATCTGTGTTCTGTGAGCTGGTTTTGGGAGGGAAGGGGGCATCTCACTCCCTCTCTTCCTCGGCTGTCCCAACACAATTTCACTCCATAGCAAATAGCTAGGTGCATTTTTCTACAAGGAGTGCAGAGTTTCTAGTTTAGCCAGATCCATCCCTGATCTGTCCTAATCCCTTCTTTCTCAAAGAATTGGAGTTACTCATCCTTTGTGAAGGACGGGATTAGGACAGATCGGGAATGGATCTAGCTAAAATTGGGTCACAATGCCTCCAGTCTGAGGGCGGAGGTGTGTGATAACACCTGATCTAAAAAAAATTTCCCAATTTTTCAGTACACTCTGGGATCGGGCAGAAGCCCATGTGCTAATCTCCTAGGCTGAGGCAGCTGAGCTCCTCAGTTCTGGAAATGATATGGTGAAATTGGAGCATCAAGATTTCCTATGTAGCAGAGCCTCCTCAGAAATTTATCAGTTATAATCAAGCATTAAGAAATGTGAAGGCAGCTATTGTTGTTGGACACTCCCAGAAAAAACATAGACTACCTGCAATCTATTATGTCCACTTACATGTAAGGTAAACAATACATATGGAGGACACTTCTAAGTACACCTTATGCTTGTAAAAGTCTTTCATATTTAAGAATATTTCAGTGATAACAGATGGGAAAAGTAATTTGCCCTCCCCTTGTAAATACTTGCATGTAGGGAAAATTAACAATAACCTGCCTGCCAATACTGAGCCCCCACCCCACATCTTTAAAAAAGTTTGGGGATCACTGTTTATAATGCAGTTTTTCTACACCCTCAAGAGCTCAAGCACCCATGGTTTTGACCCTGTAGTATCTTTCAAATAATTTCTAGCAATCAGTGAACATACTGGATGAAAAGAAGCTTATACTCAAGATGATGCTGCACAGGCCAAAGGGTCTGCGTTCCCCCTGGCCTCACATTGTCCTGTTTGCAGGTTAAACCCCAGGACCAGGATCAGCCCTAATCCTGGCAGACTGGATGTGGATCCAGTGGATTCTGCCTGATCCAAGGGTAAACAGCCCTCAACATGGATCAATTTAACCCCCAGTTTGTTGTGGAATTTCTCAGAAACTCTGCAGCAAACTCCAGCTGTTTAGATGACCCGTGTGCTCCTTACCTCTTGCCTGTGTAAGCATATCTCCATTGCTGCATCTGATGCAGAAACAGAGCACCTGGCTGCACCCATATGGCCAGGCACCCCATTTTTGCATCAGCTGCAGCAACTGAGGTTTGTTCACTAGTGGAGATGGAGGGGGAAAGTAAGGAGTGCACACCAGTCATGGGTCACTGGGCCAGTGCAGGGATGGGTGTGTAAATATTCATTCATCCCTGGCCTGGCCTGGCCTGGCCTGGCCTGGGGACCAACTGAGGTTAGCACCCTGGCTAGGAAAGCCAAGGCCAAGCCAGTGTTTTCTTGGCCCATCTACTCAGGGCCAAAGGCAACTTCTTAGATTGCTGTGGCAGGGGAAGCATTGCAATAAAGACCACAGGAACACACAACTGGCAATGAAAAGGCCACAACTTTATTGATTACAGCAGATAGGAAGGGTTGGCCCCGAAAGCATGAGGTCCAGATCTGTTATCAACCAACCCTTGTTGGTCAATGAACTGAATTGCCTGGTCAACCTCAAGCTTCGGGATGACAGAGGGGTAACCAACTGATTGTACGTTCACATCTTAGGAAACCGTTTGAGCTCATGTGTTGCATTTGCACCCCTTGTCACTGGGGG